TTAACCCTCTCTTCCCAATCCAGCTCCCTCCCCAAGCCTTCCCCCACTATTGTCTGTCCATGGGCTATGCACGTATGTATATTAGTTCATTGGTTAATCTCTTCCCGCTGCCCCCTTCCCTCTGAAATACGTTGGACAACTCTTATTTTGTTTGTTCTTTAAGATGTTTATCAGACCTGCAGTGACTGGAGAAGGGCTCACAGTCCCCATCGCTGCCCCAGCCACTCCACTCCTCGGATGTGGCTTCCGTTTAGGGCCCCACAGGTGTAGTTGTTTTTTTTTAACTTAATTTTTTTGTTAAGGTATAAATTACATACAGTAACATTTATCCTTTTTAGCATACAGTTCAATGAGTTGTGACAAACTCATGACCATTTAACCATGGTCTCAATGAAGATACAGAACAATTCCTTCACCCGAAACATTTCCTTCTGTGGCTTTGTAGTTCGCTTTCCACCTTCCACCCCCCGCACCTGGCAGCCACTGACCTCTTCCTGCTGCTAGAGTTTTACCTTGTCCTGAGTATTGTGAATGTAATCCGGTAGCACAAGCATGTCACACCCGCCGGCCGCGAGTTTGACACACTTGCTGTAGTGTGCAGCCTTCTGAGTCTGGCTTCTCTCACGTAGCACACACGGCATTTGTGGTTCCCCCATGCTGCTGCGTATATTGGTAGTTTGATCAGTTGTCCATTTTTTACTGCTGAGTAGTATTCCATTGTAGAAACGTAATGCTGCTGCTTATCCATTCACCAGCTTCTACAAACAGTTGTGTGCTGGTTTTGCGTGAACATAAATTTTCATTTCTCCTGTGTAAATAGTTGTGGGGGGGGATCATGAGTAGTGTGATAAACGTGTATTTAACTTTACAAAAGACTATCAAAGTGTTTTCTAAAGTGGCTGTATCATTGCATATTCCTACCAGCAGTGTTTGAGAATTCCAGTTTCTCTGCATCCTTGCCAGCATTTGATGTTGCTACTTTTTAAAAAAATAATTTTTTAAAAATATTTTTATTGATTTCATGGAGGAAGGGAGAGGGAGAGAGAGATAGAAGTATCAATGATGAGAGAGAATCATTGATCAGCTGCCTCTTGCACACCCTCTCTGGGAATCAAGCCCGCATGCAACCCAGGCATGTACCCTTGACCGGAATCGAACCCAGGACCTTTCAGAGTCCTCAGGCCGACGCTCTATCCACTGAGCCAAACCAGCTAGGGCTGGTGTTGCTGCTTTTTACTGTCAGCTGTTCTGGTAGTGACATAGGGACTTGATAGCTGTCTTCAGTACGTGCAGGTCTGTTGTGTAGAAAAGGAATTGCAGTTGTACCTTGCGGGCCTTTGGGGCAGAGCGAGGGTCAGTGGGGGAAATAGAGGGACAGCTTTGAACTCACGCAGAGAATCACTCTGTGGGGAAGGAATGGATGGGCTTTGTGTGAAGGAAGGAGTATGCTGCCTCACTATGGAGGGTTCAGACAGTCTTGATGGCCATTGGGGGGATTCTGCTAACGATTTGGATGGGAGGACAGCATCATCTCAAAATTCCTTTCAACCCTGAGATGCAAGTAAAAGGGGAATCTGTATTTTTAGTGACTGGGATGGAGTGGGTTTTCTGCAGTACTTGCTGTTATTTTGGAACTTCCTGGCTTAGCACATCTGGGGACTCTCCCTGAGGGCCCTGGGCCTCCTCTGTCCTCTGCCTTCCTTACTGCGAAGGATGGGGCGCCCAGGCCTCATTCCCCTCCCCGCGCCCCCCCCCTCCCCCCAAACACACACACATCAGGGAGCGGCTGTCTGATGGCTTCTCAGGCCTGGGCAGCCTCACTTCTGTGTGTGCCTTGTGTGCTCCAGCCTTGGGGCAGGAGAAGGGGCACAGGAGGCGCCCGTCAGGAGGCCGTGCAGCGCAGGCGGAGGCCCTGGCTCTGGAGTTAGAGCTGAGTTTTGCGCGGGGTCCGCCGCTTTCCTAGCTGCACCGTCTTTCTGGACGTCATTTTCTCACGGGGTGGTAACAGCACATGCCTGGGAGGGTGCGTGGGGATGAAGGAGGTCAGGATGGAGGGTTTGGCACAGAACCCAGCGCCAGGCTGTGGTGGGCTAACGTCGGCGCTCACTTCATCGTCTGCGTGACCCGCTGCCCAGACCCTCACCCTGCTGGAGAGGACCAGAGGCCGTGGCTGTGCATGGTGACGGCGCTGGTGGTCCTGCTTTCTCCTGCTGCTTCTCTCCAGCTTCTGCGGAAGCCCAGGGGCGCACCTTCTGTCGCTTCTTGTGTGACATGGGGTGAAAATCCTTTCTCTCCCTGGAGGCAGGTCTCTGCACCTGGTGGTTTTCAGTTCCCGAACTCGAGATGTGATACTTCTCGGATACTTCGTGCACTTGGGTGTAGCACCGAGCGGCCGTTCTCAAAGCCTGGCCAGTGTCCCCGAGGTCTCCTCAGGGGCCAGTGAGGTCAAAACCGTCTCACAACGACACTTAGGTGTCACTTGCTTTTCCACTCTCACACACACTCCGCTGTGGGTGGGGTTTTCTGTCCTGGTGTGCCGTCCTGCACAGACGCACGGACGCACGGACGCGCGGACGCGAGGCAAGTCAGGCACCAAACGTATAAAGATGCCCAGCAGTGCTGCTCTTCTCACTGCATGTTTTGTTTTGTAATTGAAAGGGTAGTTAATTTTTAATTTAAAAAATCTTACGTAGATATGTAGTAGGTGTTTGCTTATTTTAAAACTAGATTTTAAGATTTCCGTGGTTTTAATTTCTAATCTGGTAGATAGCGTTAGATAGATGTAGCCCATAGAAACAGAAGCTCTTTGCAGTCCTTAGTCATTTTTAAGAGTAGAGAGAGGTCCTGACATCCAAAAGTTTGTGAACTTTCAGGTTAAGGCCTTGGCTCTGGGGTCAGGTCCGTAGAGGGAGGCTCAGTGCTGTCGTCTGCTGGCTCAGCGGCCGGGCACGTTGCTTAGCCTTGACCAGGTTGGGTGTCCTGATCTGTAAGATGGGGGTGACAGCAGTATTTTCCTTACGGGGATTGGCTGGGATGATGTATGGAAAGCATTTCAGAAACTGCCGGGCACGAAGTAACTGCTACTCATGGTTGCCATCGGGGAGGCAGGGAGGCGTGGTGGCAGAGTGTGCGTGCCGAATCTATTTGAATTGGTGAACTAACCTTGCTGGTCCTCGGTTTTCTCACCTGTAAAATGGGGTGACAATATTAGTACCCACCTCGGGTTGTTGGGAAGCTGGAGTTCATGTCTGGGACATTTGTGTTGTCTGCGCTGTGTTAACTCCCCGCCTTTCCGGGTGCGCTCTGAGCCTCTGCGTCCCACTTGCTTAGGTTGGTCAGTCTCCCACAGGTGGTTTCCCCCGGAGCTCAGAGGGTGACTCATAGGCATCTCCCAGAGGGGCTCGACACATGTCCAGAGGAAGCCCCACTCGGGAGACCCTCGTAAGTTATGCAAATCAGAGGACAGTGAAGACCTGGCCCTGGGCTCTCCTCATAAAAGTGACTTCACTTGCCAGAGAGCAAGGAGTTATGCAGCCCACACACAGCGGCAACCAGCCTTTTCCCGAAACTCCGGGGCAGGCGTGAGGGTGCAGGGTGTTCGGGGGAAGGTGAGGGAAAGCGCCTAGAGCAGAACCATGTGGGGAGGAGGAGGGGAAGGGCTGGTCTGGGCCCCACTTTAGAGAACATTCTGACCCCAGAGTTCTGGCCTGGAGCACAGGAGTCCTGGGGGGCAGGGTGTGGTGGTTTTAAAATAACATGCACTTCGGGGGGTACTAGATTTAGGTGGCTGGGGTACCGGTGTTGGGAACCTGAGCTGAGCGTGAGGCTCCTACCTCAGACCAGGGTATGGCTTGTCACCACAGTGTGGAGCTCCCCATCCTCCCTGGCACTCCTGGGAAATGCAGGCCACACCCGGGCGCCCCTCTTTGTCTTGGTGGGGGCACTTGGTTTTTGTGAGCAGCCAACAAGGGTCATGGGGGTGTCGGGGTCAGGATGGCAGAGCCAGAGACATGCCTGTGCCCTTCTCACATTCTAGGGCTCCTGGGTGAGGCAGCCTCCTGGGTCCCTCCATGAAATGGGAAGGCTGCTCTGAGTTCCTGACCCTGAGTTCCTGGCTCCCTGAGGGTCGAGGGCGTCTCAGGTGAACATACGGACAGAGTTAAATATAAAGCAGCATGGACTCATCTCCTTCCCGGACGTTTGAGTGAGGGCTGTCCTGTTAGAAAAGGATTTGGGTCTTGTCAGAGGTGCTGGCAGTGGCCACTGCTCCTAGTAATAGCAGGAGGTACGGGGTTCCCTTCAGGACGCTTTCGTCCTGGCACAGGTGCCGAGGGCCCGATGTGGGCTGGGCCCCCAGAGCCCCCCGACTTACCTGCATCACATCCCACTTAACCGTGGGCAGCTCTCCCTGACAGCCCCTCCAAGCCCGCACACCTGGGCTGTTTGGGCAGGTCCTTCAGGCAGTTGGATGGCTCGGAAAAGGGCTGTACGAAGTGTCCAGCCCTGGTCGGGGAGGATGGGGACCCGGCCCTTGGGCCCAGCTTTGGAGCCAGTCACCTTGGTCCTCAGAGCTCCACTGGGTTCCAACTGGACCTTCCTCCCCAGGCCATGGCTTCTGCTCTGCTCGGGGCTCAGATGGGCCTCTCCATGCCCAGGGATGGGTGATAGTTATCGTTTGCAGACTAGGGGAGGATGCGAGGATTAGGGCCGAAACGGTGGATCCTGGGGGTGTCATGGCGGATTGGGAAGGGTGGAGGTTCTCGGGGTGCTCAGCCAGGGCCAGGAGAGCGGGCGGGGGAGTGCTGAGGCTTGGGGACCGTCTGGGCCTAGTCTTTGTTTCATCTCTTACTCCCCGACGTATGTTGTCATCTCTGAAGGGCAGTGCTCACAGGATACACTGGCAGGGCCGGTGGGCATGAGCAGTGCAGCCAAAAGTCAGAGCCTGGCACCCGGTGACTTCCCCTAAATGCCAGTTCTCTTTGTTATTTCCCTCCTGCCAGGAACCACCGGGAAGGCACCGTCCCCCCCGCCCCTCCTCACTGACCGCCAGGTGAATGAGAAGGTGGAGAGCCTCTCCATTCAGCTGCGGCTGATGACTCGGGAGAGGAACGAACTGCGGAAGCGCCTGGCCTTCGCCACTCACGGGACGACCTTTGACAAGAGGTAGGAGCAGCCAGCTCCCCTGCCCAACACTCACCCACCTGGTACCATCACCATCCCCTCCCCGCCAGGGGGTCCTCAGCTCCAGGGGGAAGGGGCACAGGCTTGTTCTGCTTCTTCCAGATGGAAATTGAAGCCCATGGCTTGAATCACACACCTCGAAGGTTGAAAGATGTGGGTGTGTCTATCATACATTTGGCCCCTGACCGTGGTGTCGTGTGTGTGTGTGTGTGTGTGTGTGTGTCCATGTGCCACTGTCTCCCAGAAGACCCCAGCTTACCTCCTATTGGGTGGATCTTTATGTGGCATGCAAACACATTCATTGTACCCTGACATGTATGTGTATTAGGAAGAATATATCCCACATGGCTTCTTTGTTTTGAAGAAAATCTTTCATTGCTCCTATTGCCAGGAAAGGGCAGTTCAAGGGTTGGGGCAGAGGGAGAGGCCTTACTCACCTGCATGATCCCAAGGGGCTTCATGGAGGAGGAGGGATGCAGACTGGTTTATCCTTCCAGGAGATGCTGGAGGGGTTCTTGGTGTTTAGCTTCTTCCCTTTAAGAGCATCAGAGTGTGCGCCTCGTTCCAAGGAAGAGTCCTCTTGGGGGAATATCAGGCTACAAGCCGGCTCCTTGAGGTTGCACTGATGAGGACATGCCCCAATCAGATGGCACAAAGGCAGGGCAGTGAGGACACGGTGCGCCAGCGTGCATGTGGTCCACGGCTACTTTCATGCTGACGAGGCAGAGTGTGTGGTTCCACAGCAACCGTGTGGCCAGCCAAGTCTAGAGTGTGGTCCTTTACAGAAAAGGGTTGCTGATGTCTGCTCTAGGGCAGGGCTTCTCAAACTCGAGTAAGCACTGCAGTCCCGGAGGCCTTACTGTTGAAGCACAGATTGCTAGTGAGCCTGCCCTCCCTAGTGTCTGATCCAGGAGGTCTGGGGCTGGCCTGACAGTTTGCATTTCTAACAAGTTCCCAGGTTATCAATGCTGCAGGACCAGGAACCTCACTTTGAGAACCACTGCACCCTGCCAGTTTTCTCAGCTTTGGCTGCACGTTGGAATCCATTGGAAAGTTAAAAAAAAATCTGATGTCTGATTCCCATCCCGGGGTGCTGATATAGTTGGCCTGGGATTTTAATGTATACCCAAGATTGAGAATCACTGGTCTAAAGAGAGAAGAAACCTCATCATAGGTTTCTGGTGTACCCACTGTGTGCATAGGCCTGTCACAAGGTCTCCCAGAAGCTTCTAGATCAGTGGTTCTCAACCTTCTTTTTTTTTTTCCTTTTTTTTTTATTGCTTAAAGTATTGCAAAGGGTATTACATATGTGTCCTTTTTCCCCCCTCGCCCTTGACAGTCCCCTAGCCTCCCCTATCTCCCAGTGTCTTATGTCCATTGTCAACCTTCTGGCCCTTTAAATACAGTTCCTTATGTTGTGACCCAACCATAAAATTATTTTCGTTTCTACTTCATAACTGTCATGTTGCTACTGTTATGAATCGTACTGTAAATATCTGATATGCAAGATGGTCTTAGGCGACTCCTGTGAAAGGGTCGTCCGACCTCCAAAGGGGTCGCGACCCACAGGTTGAGAACCACTGTCCTAGATGGTCCATTCTCAGCTCTTCAGGCCCATGCAGGGCGCTCAAGTAGCTGAGGGCCCCTCCATCCTGGGGATTCTCATTCTGTTGGCCTGTGTGTAGCCGGGCCATCTGAGCTTGACACGCATCCTGGTGGTTGTGGTGCGTAGGAGACTGGTATTTGGGAACCACTCTGCTGGGGTGACCTAGGACACGGCTTCTGGGGGAAGAGACATTCCTTGTCAGTGTGTTCACGGTGCCGTTTGCTGTCTGGGCCAGGCCCTACCACAGGCTGAATCCTGACTACGAGAGGCTGAAGATCCAGTGTGTGCGGGCCATGTCGGACCTGCAGAGTCTGCAGAACCAGCACACCAATGCCTTGAAGAGGTGTGAGGAAGTGGCCAAGGAGACCGACTTCTACCAGTGAGTGGGGCCTGCCTGGCAAGGGCTCTGGCATCCACGAATGGCTGCCTCTTACCCTTCCTCATTTCTGGACTTGGAGCCAGGCCTCCTGGTTCTAGTCCTGCCTCTTCCATGAGGCCAGCAGTGTGCCTTCAGCAAGTGGGTTTGTGCCTCAGTTTCCCCAAGCACAGAGTGAGGCTTTTAACCTTTCATACCATCTGTTGCAGCCTCAGAAGCAGGGTGGGTCAGCAGTGACGGAGAATGGGAGACGGGGGGCCGGACAGATCCCTGGGATTCTGGGTTGCTATCCAGGGCTTTGTTGCGGCTCCTGCCACAGGAGAGGCAGATGCAGCATGCTCCCCTCTGGTCTCCTGGTGCCCCTCTGAGGGTACTTGCCTGCCCACCTGCTGATACTTGCTCAGGCCCAGGTACCTCAGTACGTGGTGGTGCCAGGTCTGTCCCAGGTAGCCCCCTTGTCTATGCACCCTTGTTGGTGTCAGGTTTTTAACAAGTGGTCTGGGTCCTTCTGGCATCGGGCTGACAGCAGGCTTTTGCCCGCCCCTGAGCGCTGGGCACCCAGCTTCTGTGGTTCCCGGCTGGTGTATTGGTGGATGGGACCCAGGAGGGGCTGGTGATGCCTGGGGTGGGGGTGGAGGCTGTCTGGGGCTCACTGTGGGGGGGTTTCAGCACACTCCACAGCCGGCTCCTGAGTGACCAGACCCAGCTGAAGGACGACGTGGACACGCTGCGGCGGGAGAACGGGCAGCTGCTGCGGGAGCGGAACCTGCTGCAGCAGTCCTGGGAGGACATGAAGCGGCTCCACGAGGAGGACCAGAAGGAGATTGGCGACCTCCGGGCCCAGCAGCAGCAGGTAGAGCGGGCCGGGTGCTGGGTGCTGGGTGCAGGTCCAGGTCGCTTACCACCTACCCCTCCAGCCACTCATCCATCCACCCCCCTGATAATTTAGCAAGTATTTCTGGAGGGTTCGCCTCATGTGAAGCCCTGGGATCTGTGAGCAGACACTCAGGCCTTGCTCTCTGGACTCTGCAGTCCCCTGGAGGAGACACATGTTAATAAAATAATCCCATAATCATTTGTAATAATCATTACAAATGTTGCAAGGGTTACCAAGAAGGAGGTGCTATGCAGTGTGTACTGGGAATTAGACTTACTCTGGGGCTGGGGGCTGGGGGGCCGCAGCTTCTTTCCTCTGTACGGATCCCATGAGATTGCAGTTGGAGAAGCTCGGAAACTTTAGAGCCCTGTGCAAACGAGATGGAGTGCTTATCATCGGTATTTTGGTGGGCGTGTGTCCTGTTGCTCTTGCTGCTCTCGGCACTACAAGTTAGTGTCTTTGCTTTGCTCAGCTCGTGTTTCGTGTGGACAAAGGCATGAGGGGCAGACCAGTCAGAGCCTGGCTTCCTGTGAGTGATGGTGGCCCCTTCTCCTCTCGGAACTGCCCGGCTGTCCAGGGACATGGCAGGGCTGGTGGCATGTGCTGTGTCCACAGATGGTTGGCCGTGTGGGGTCGGAAGGCAAGCCCAGGAGGAGGCAGAGTGTTGCCCAAGCGCTGCAGCCTGGGTCTGAATAGGTAGAAAGTCCCGTCCCCATTAGAATCATTGATGGCTCCCTGAGACAAAGCAGGACTGCTGGGCTTGCTCAGCACAGTTTGGCACAACCTGAACTCATCGGATAACGGAGCATGACATTATCTTCTTTGCTTTTTCATTTATAATGAAACATTTTAAAATTGTGAAACTTTTACCTATTTACAAAAGCGTTTTAAGTACAGTGCAGAGAATTTTCCCCCTTATCATTCAAGAGTAAGTTGCCACCCTGATGCCCCATCAGCCCTGAGCGCGCTCACGTGTACTTCTGACAAGCAAGGATGTTCCATACAGCAGCCACATGGGCACCATCGGGAAGGTAGTGTACATACTACCACCGGGTCAGCAGACCCCTTCACATTTTGCTAATTGTCTCAGTAGTGTCTGTAACAGGAAAAGGACCCTGTTCAGAATAAAGCATTGCGTCCATTCCCCACGTCTCTTTGGTCTTTTTAAATTGGGAACAGTTCCTTGGCTTTGACCTGCATGACCTTGATGCTTGGGAAGATTATAAGCCAGTTGGTTATTCTGTAGGCTGTCCCTCCACCTGGATTTTGGCAGTCCTCACTGTTTGATACCCTTTGAGCATCTTAGGCAGGACTGTCATGGTCGTGATGCTGCCTTCTTCTCTTTGCATCCTGCTGATTGGGACTTTGCTTGATGGGCCTGTTACTGATGAGGTTCACTTCGGTCACGTGACTAAGGTGGTGTCCCCAGGCTTCTCTCCTGTGAAGTTACGTGTTTTCCTTTTGTTTACTTACCTACCTACCTACCTACTGACTCGTGGTTGGTGCTTTATTCAGCGGGTTATCGTCCACTGTGGCCAGCAGGAGCCCCTCAGGGTTGCTTCTCCGTCGTTTTGTCATGTCCTCCTCACTCTGAGTGCTTCCTTGCTCCCTGGCACAAGGTGTTCCAAGCCCATTTTATAATTTCCCTGCCCTTGTCCTGGAAAATCAGCCATTTCTTCAAAGAGCCTTCATCCCTTTTAGTGGAGAATGGTATTTAGCAGCAAGGTCTGAATGCTGGGTGTATTCATAGCTACTGGGGTATCACTGCTCCCAGGGCCTCTCAGTGGACAGAGTAGGGAATGTCTGTGGACACCCCTGCACCCCCACACTCAAACCTCTCTCTATCCCTTATGTGTCTGTATCTTCAATAGGTAACATATATGTGGAAAACAGGAGTTCACACTAACACTTTCAGTTCCAGTCCAATACTGCAACACCACAGGGCTCATTCTTTTACTCGTCCCATTTTTTGTAATTCACTTTTACAGCAGTGTGAAACTTGGTTCCTGTTACTGTGTGGGGCTTTTTATTTTTTTTTGGTTTTATTTTTTTGTTAATCCTCACCTGAGGATATTTTTTTTCTATTGATTTTTAGAGAGAGTAAAAGAGAGAGAGAGAGAGGAGAGAGAGAAACATCGATGGGAGAGAGACATTAATGTGAGTTGCCTCCCGCAGATACCCTGATTGGGGCTGGGGATCGAACCTGCAACCCTGGTCAGGTATGTGCCCTTGAATCAAACCTGTGACCCATCAGTGTGCAGGCCGACACGCTAATCATTTAGCATCATCGGCCACGGCTGGTTCCTATTGTTCTTAATCTGTTACTTGGTCAGCCCCACTGTGTACCCTCATCCCATCTCCTCCCTAGCTCCCTTCCCACTCGTTCCCTTCTTACCCTTTTGGGCTCCCATGTTCTGTGCATTCCCTCCCCCAGCCTCACCTGCGCAGGTCCTTCCTCATCCTGTGCCGGCTCTGACGCCCTCTCTGGGCTCCACAAGAGCCACACACCAACTGTATCTCCAGGTCCTGCTCGGCCTCACTCATGGCTGTCAGGTCCAAAGGTCAAATTGTTCAGAAAGGGGAAGGGCAGGACTTTCTTTTCATTTTTATACTACCTTTTTAATTGCAAAATTAATATGCATTTTACTAATAAAAGAATCAAACAATACAGGCGTTTTAAAAATAAAAGGTAGAATTCCTCCCGTTGTCTGACTCCCAAGAACTAACTACGTTGAGCACACTGCCAGTGGGAAGTTTGAGGTTTTCATGTGTGCACAGAGCCTTGTATCTTGTCAGGTTAGTTCACAAACTGGAACCACGCGTCCGTTATGTTGTGGCATTTTTATGGCTGAATATATAGCGTGAGCACCGTCCTGCTTCAGGACAAAGCCCACGTCCCAGTTTGTCATGGCTGCAGAGCATTGAGCCACAGAGACGCACTGTGATTGCTTCAACCAGGCCCCTTGCTGACGGGCTCCTGGGCTGTTTTCGGGATTTCCCCATTTAAACTGTCGAAGAACTGGCTTCTGTGGTTGACTTTCTTTCTGTGGTCTTTGTTGAAGTCTTACGTGGAGTTCCCAGTGCAGGCTCAGGGAGGGGCCCGAGGCGATGTACTCGGGCTTATCCCATGTCTTCGTGAGCCCTCTGATCAGGGGACTGGGCGGGAGTTGGTAGCCCTGATGGAGCCTTCCCTGCTGGCCGCCCCCCCAGCCCCGAGACTCCACTGCCTGCCTCTTTCCTTCTGTCCCTCTAACAGTTCCAGAACCAGGACCGGGGTGGGCCGTGCTAGGGGAGCACTGCTTTAGGGACGAAGGGAGGCACAAGGAGAAAGTGCGGTGCCAGCCCATGGTTAGTGCCAGGCTGAGTGCATTGAGTTTCCCTGCGTGTCCACAGAGCTTCCTATCGCAAAGGGTTAAGACGGTGCATTTTCAGTTGTTCAGAGGCAAACCATTTTACCCCAACCGGAGTCCTCTGCAGAAACCCCGTGCGTGAGGCGGGTCAGGATGACTGCTGTGGGGAGTCAGGCACAGGGCCAGTCACAGATCAAGTCCATGTATGATATGAGTCCATTCACAGGAAGTGTCCGGAACAGGGAAATCTGTGGGGACAGAGGCTGAGGGAGGGGAGGATGGAGTGTCTGCTAAGGGGACGGTTTCCCTTTGGGGTGATGAAATGTTCTGGAATTGGTTAGTGGTAGTTGCTGCACAACTTTGTGACTGTCCCCAAAACCACTGAATTGGGCACTTAAAGGGGGAATTGTATGGTATGTGAATTATATCTCAAAATAAGACTCCAGTTATCACCTTGTCATAAAAAAAAGAAAGAAATCAGCCCTCATGAGGCCAAAATGTCCTTGCCTCCCGATCCCTGTTTTCCCTCAGGCCTTTGATGGCTGTGCAGACAGCCAGCCTGAGATGAACGTTCCCCCCCCCCCCCCCCCCGCTTTCTTGCTCTTCCCACAAATGGCAGGGAAGGTCCCCCCCACCCCTCCTCCATCCCTGTTCTCCTTTCTTTTCCCACAGCTGTGACCCTGGGAGGGATAGTTTATTAGAGTGGTCACTGAGTTTTCCCAGTTCCGTTCAGCGGGACTGGTGCCCTTACCATGAGCCACCAGGACCCCACCAGGACAGGAGGCACGGCTGGGGGTGGATCTCCGAGCTGCCAGGCCACCTGCTGCCCCCGGCCTGGGCCTTCTCACCTGGACCGGGTCCGGGGTAGGGGCCTGGCTAAGCAGAGCTCCGGCCCTGGTAGGTCAGCAGCGGAGGAAGCAGGGAACACGGGAGGCCCAGGTTTCCTCCCCACGGGCCTGGGGGCAAAGGTTGCCCTTGCTGGACAAGGCCGGTTTTGTTGCCTGGTTCCTCCCACGCCTTGTTCACTTGAAGAGGCCCTTGCGGGGTAAATGGTGCTGTTTGACTTGCTTGTTTGCTTGAGGGATTTGTGGGGCTCCCAGCCCTCTTCATGATTTATCTCCGAGGAAATGAGGCAGCCCTGGGTGGGGGTGGGGGTGGGGGTGGGGGTGCAGCGCCACAGGCAGGGGCCTGGGCCCTCTCCCACTTGAGAGCAGCAGACAGGTGGTGTGTGTGTGTGTGTGTGTGTGTGTGTGTGTGTGTGTGTGTGTGAGTGCGAGTGTGTGTGTGTGCGCGCATGCATGTGTGCAGCGTGGCAAGGCCATCTCCAGGGCTTCTCAGTCAGAATGCACCACTTGAATTCTCATTTGGGTCAAAAGCGTCCATAGCTCCTGGGCTGAGATTGCTGAACCTGGGTGGGGGCGCAACGCAGAGGGTATTTGTACATCGTTTACTTTACCACAGCAATGCATATGCTTTGGTGAGAAAAGGAGAGAACCTCTGACAGCAGTGCAGTGCCCTCCACCCCAGGCTCCCCCTGGCGTTGACCGTCCTCTCTGAACCGCTGGCACACATCCCTGGGGACACAATATATAGGTCTCCTTATATTTTCTGTAAATTTGGAACATC